CATAGATGGTATCAACAGAGGTGAATGCCCAGGGAGGGATCTACAAGTACTTATCATTGCCTCTATGCCAGAGAGGACTGACCGACTTTGATGAAGAAAATACAGTGATGAGTGCCATTGGGATCTCCAGTTTAAAATCTCAGAGCTGATTGATGGGCTGAGTCCAGAGATTTCAGGGTAGAAGTAGCTGCACATCTGAAAAAACTGCTTCAAAAACACTGTTCTGACGAGTGGGAGGACAGTTAAATTAGTTCGTTTAAAAAAATCAGAATTGGGGTTAATATGTAAATGATTCACCAAGGCATTTATATGCTTCAACTCTGTCAATATCAATCATCCAATGTGGATAGTTGCACACTGCTAAAACCAATTTCTCTTACCCTGGCGAAAAGCATGCAAAAGATTTCTTATATTAAGGACCAATTTACTTCATTCTTTAAGTACCACTTTAGTTCCTTTTTAGAGCATCAAAGAAAGCTGTAACTTCTCAATAGGGAGCTGTACATTGTGAAAAATACAGAACATTGTCATCTGCATAGAGATGTCTTGTACAGTGAGAAATAGAGGAGACGATGTTATTGATATAGATGGCAAATGAAAAGGGGCCCAGCACTGATCCTTGTGGAACACTTTTCCCTCATGGTAAAAGCTCTGAGTGAATATTTCCCACTTTTACACACTAAAACCTACCAGAAAGATAACTCATATATGTAAGTATCATAAGGGTAGATATCAGTGTTAAAACTGAATGTGTGACCCTGTAGTTTAAGGACTTTCAGATTGTTACTATGACAACATGTTACTCAGCTGAAAGTCAAGGGTAGACATGACTTCATAAGACAGGAATTATAGTGGAACTCTTTTTTGACTGTTCATTCACAAATGACTAATGTATGAAGCAAGTATGGTACTCAAGAATTTACCTACAAGGACAAAATAACAACAATGAAAGCCTCTGATTGGCTAGAAAAGCTGGAAACATCATCACACGCTCAAGCCAAACGGTCAGCACTTCTAGCCAATCAGAGGCGATAAGATAAGCACATGAAACTATGGTAACAACCGTTAGCTTAGGTTAGCACAGATGAAAGTTAAAACAAAGTCGTTTAGCAAACTGTTAAAGCACAAAAACTATCGTCAATATGAGAGATCCGATGCTATGACTCTCCACAAGTTGTCCTTCAGGTCGTTATCTTTGTAATATTTGTGTTTTTTATCAAAAAGCACTCTGTTCTCCAACACGTAAACAATCAGCCGGTCTGCCATGTTGGATATACCAGTGAGTCACACGTCGCAACAACACTCAATCTGATTGGTCAGAAGTGGACACACAGTATGCGAAAAAATAAATGCCACAATATTGCAGGACGGGAAAACGTCGCTGATGTGAACGCTTGTGTTGACAGGATACGGGTTCGAAAAAAAAATATTGACATCTGAAATAATGGCACAAAAAAATGGTCAGGGTGTGAAAGGACCTTCAAGCTCCCATGAGGAACTTTTGGTTTGTTTTGGTTTTGGTGCCCCCTGTGGACAATGTGATACCTCTAATCTCTTGTTCTGTACAGACAAAGTTGCCCCTCAGAAATTAACTTCATCCTGTTGTCTTTAAATGCTAAAATGCATCCTGAAGTGTGAGCATTTGCCTTGGAAACATAAAGATAAGGCTGTTTCCTCAGCCTGCTGTCAATGATCTTCACCACTGTTTTTTTGGATCAGAAATTACAACTAGAAAGAAATCGGCCATATTGCTCATGGTGTAGTTTGCTTTTAGAGGTCATAAAGAAGCATTGGTTTAAGTTTCAGTCTGCCTCTTATCCAGATAAAATCCCCTGCAGTACCTTTAAGTGGGTTGAGCACCATTATTTTTCATGCACATTGATAGGAGTGACTTAAGATGTAGTTGGTGCAAAGAATTATGGGCCATATTTTCTTCTTTCCTTTAGTAAAAGATGGCCCACAGTCCAGTCCTGGTCACCTGAAGATCCAGACAGTCTTGTGAGTATGACTCGGTTAACAGTCATCATCTGAGGGCCTTTTCCACGCCATCTCTCAGATCTCTTAGTGCTCATTCATGGAGCCATTTTCAGCACAAAGAAACAATGTAGTGGTACATTGAGGATCAGCCGAATGTGAACGTGAGAAAACGTGTCATGCGTGGTCGATGAGGAGCAGGACTGAGCCACCCCAGAGATCAAAGAGAGAGGGGACCTTCAGGACCCCGACCCACACAGGACTAAAGAGACAGTCAGAGCAGAGGCTAAATGTTAGCACTTGACAGAAAGGGAAGAAATGATGAAACAATAGGAGGGAGAGCTGTTTGGTTTATTTCAGTGCACATGCAGAGAAACGCACCAGCGCATCCAAAAGACTGTCAGGGATCACACATCAAAGACATCCAAGACAAAATCGTGAAACCGCAATCTGTTGTTTCACACTTCTCTGTCTCTAAAACACAAAGATGTCATTTCTTTGACAGATAAACAGCTATGTACTTTGATGTCAGCCCACAAAAGTCCAGAGCTGGTGTCTGCAAATTACAATACCACCCAGAAATTCCCTCAGAATTAAACAGACCTAGTATCTACAGCTGAAGGGGTAAATATCATAAAACTGTGAAAACATAGAAAATATGAGAGAAGATTTATTCTGACAGCCATCACATGTGGACGAAAAAAAAAAAGGAAAATACATTTATTGTTAGTGTCACTTTTATAGTTTTTTTGAAAATAATCTACAATGCAGGTCATTATATACAAAAACATTTTTTATTTTATTTTATTTTATCTATTTATTTAATTATTTATTTATTTATTCATTTATTTATTTATTTATTGGGGGGGAGGGTCATGTTTGTTTTTATCCATGCTTTTTTTTAAATAACCAAAATAAATTAATTAATAAAAAATAAATTTAAAAAAACAGTTAAGGGTATAGTTTATATTTTATTTTTGCAATGTAAATGTTCATGCTAGTATGCATTTTATAATTTAAAAGCTTTGATCTACGTTGACATGTCGTAGTTCAAGATGTGTGAGATTGAGTATAATAAAGGTAAGACTGGTTATTTCACTAATAACTCTCTCTCAAATGTCAACACTCTTTCAATGTTGACATTTGGTCAAAAAATTAGGGAGACATCAGGTCTGCATGTACAAGTATAAGCAGGGGCTGCTCCAGGGGTGGCAGGGGTGGCCATGGCCCCTTCTGAAAATGTAATCAGCCACCTCAAAATTTTAAAGTACGATTGTCTTATTGCCTTGTCAGAAGACTTATGCGTAAATATACTTTTTGTGGCTATTTCAACAGGCTGTAAAGTGAAAAAAAAATGTCAGTGCCCCTGTTTGTCCACCCGAGTAAGAAAAAAGAAGTGTAGAACACACACCTGCTACATACAAGACTATTTTTCTAATAGTTTTCAACTAGCTAAAATACCGCTTGGATTATATCTGTCCCTACCTAATGAATTGTGACTCAGTTAGTGTGTTCTCTAAATTCACATCAGGTAATCTTTTCAGGTGTTTTGCAGGTGTCAGAGGTTGGTCTTAACAGGAAATAATCTTGAGTAAAAACAGGTCCTGAATTCACGCAAAATGAGTTCATACAATTGAGGGCCAGAGCGCATAACAGGTCAATCTCAAAGAACACATTCAGAAAATTTAACAAAATACACACTGATACATAAACCTTGACTGACTGACGAGGCTATATTTTTTCTTTCGAGGCTTTGCAAAAAAAAAAAAAAATAGAAAACTTGATCACACTAAATGCAACAAGCCAGTCCAGTTTTTGTTAATCTGGCCACCACAGTATTTCAGGCTTTTGGTTAACAACTTCATGAAACGATTATGTTCTTAAGTCATCCTGTTTTGTACAGTGTAATAATTAACCTGCAACCAACACGAATTGTTCTTCCAATGAAAATTCAATCAAGGTCCAAATAAATATCAAATAATTGCCCTGAACTTAACATCAAAATAAAAGTCTTGTGTGAAAATTAAAGGAAGGCCTTCACATGTACAGTCGGCACGAGATAAGGTTTACTGTAAGCTACCAAATCTGATCCAAACAAAGATTTTTCTGTCTTAAAAATGCACAAGTTAAAAATTAATTTATATCATTAAAACTCTGTGAAACACTCTGACAATAAACCAAAATATTGAAGTATTTTTTTTTACTGGTTAAATTGATGATAAGGAGTGGATGTTGGATTGAGAGGTGTGACAACCGACCCGGTCTCCCCCACTTGTATAAAGTTCACATATTCTAATTTATCTTTTATTATAGTTGTTGCGTGATTTGAAATTATTATGAAACAGACATCGCAAAGCAGAGCCAGTGTAAGAAACCGCATTAATTGAAGTTTTCAGACTTTCTAAGAAACAGGTGGATTTTTCCTTTATTCGACATCTAAAAATATTTCCACACACACATACACACAGTTTAAAAGTCCGATGGGTGTATGAGCTGTACAGTGCTGGTCCACAATGACAGCCTACTTATCAGGCTGCAAACTCTCTATTTAGTCTTTCCATTGTGTTGTATAAGGACATGATTTCCCCCGGAGCGCTCTTAAGTCGGGCTTTTCTTCATCGCTTCGATTGGACCCTGTTTTTTCCTGTTATTGTTCATTTATAGAACTGTCTCCTGTCTCGACACCACAGTCCGTTTCCTATTTTACATCCTCCCATACATAAATTATGATATTTTGCTGCTGATAGTGAAGACTCACACAAAGCACTTCGTTATTAGAATAATTCTTCTATTGGCGTCTTTTCGCTCCGATAAGAGGGCCATTATTTGGAATGAATAAAGTCCCCATCAGCTCTGTCTGCCGAATGTGAAAGTGTGTGAGTATGTGTGTGTGTCTGTCTGTCTCTGTGTGTGTGTGTGTGTGTGATGTAATGCGTCTGCAGGTATAAATATAGCGGCATGGCTGCAGCGCGTGCATGCAGATCCATGTCGCTCCTGCGCACACCATTGCGCCGGTCGGTCTGGGAATGAGCCGCTGCGTCTTCTTCGTCTTACTCTCGCTTTATTGGAAAGACAAACGCCGGGAGGTTGCTCTCAGAGCCAGACCCGGAATGGGCTCTCTGGCGGCCCTGAGGACGGTCCTGGTGTTGGGGTTGGTGGTCGGGCTGGCGGGATGTGCCCCTGGTCTGAACGGGACGGCGGAGCGCTGGGAGGCCCTGTACTCGCGCTCCCTGGCGCGGATCCCTGGGGAGAAGCGCGAGGAGATCAGCCGGGACAGCGACTATCTGCTGGGCATTAAACGTCTGCGGAGACTTTACTGTAACGTGGGCATCGGCTTCCACATCCAGGTGTTACCGGACGGGAGAATAACGGGAGTTCACAACGAGAACCGTCACAGTAAGTGCAACCATTTATGAACGATTAATAAGATGAAGGCGGTGTTTGGAGTCAAACCTCCGCTTCCTGCACTTTGAACTAACTTTTGTAACTTTAAAGTAGTTGAGAAAAATAGGAGTGTTTGACTGTAAATAGAAAAAAAGTCATTTAAACCATCAGCCTTCAATTTAGAGGTAGAGCGTCTTTTTATTCTCCCACATCTCATCCAAACCCGGTCTTCACCCGTGGATGAGACGCTCTGTTTCAAGTATTGATCCTTATCTGAGCACCAACATCTGGAGCCTTTCCTGCCGGAGTGCCGCTGAGCAGAGCGGAGCTGCTGTGTAACCAGAGCCCGCTGTGACTCAGGCAGGTCCTAAAGTTAGGACAGAGCCGCCCTGAACGACACATTAACCCCCGGACAGACGGACAAAGTCACAGCTCTCACTGGCGTAGAGCTTCAGACTCAGACATGCAATGATCTGACTGAGCTGTTTCGGCGTGGAAAAAAACACACTGTATGAGGGACGACTTACGTGAGTCTGCGCTCATCTGGACTCAGTTCAGACAAAACATATGATGGAGATATCAGTTACTGCGAATGTCAGTGATGAATTTAAGAAGTCATGAAACTTTTAGCAACCAAAGTAGAGATAAAAAAACAGTAAATGGTGTTAAGAGGAGTTCAGTTCACTTTAAAACGTGTTTTTAAACACATTAGTTAAACTTGTTTTAGTGTCATGAAGCCACAAATCCAGACATGTTTACATCCCTGTTCCTCTAAACCTTGTCTGGGAGGTTTCTAATCTATGGATGTACAACTCTTTCCAAAGAGGAATCATTTTTAAAAGTATTTGATATTATTTGATATATATTGGGACACATGGACATTGTTTCATTGACAATGAGACTGTTCCTGCTCAGTGCCACACCTCAGTAAACACAGAAAGAACCTCAGGCTGATCACCTGAGCAGCAACAGGTCGACGTCTCTCCATCAGTGCTAGTGAGTGTGTGTGTTACTCTCTGCTGTTTGTTTGTTCCTGGTGTTTTCTACATCAGTCTAAGAGTGTGAAGTTGTTTGCCTGATCTATCCACCTTCCTCAGTGTCTGTGTGTGTGTGTGTGTGTCTGCGTGTTTTGTCTCCCTGCAGGTCTGCTGCAGATCTCTCCAGTGGAGAGAGGCGTGGTGACTCTGCTGGGTGTCCGCAGTGGACTCTTTGTGGCCATGAACCGGAGAGGGAAGCTGTACGGATCTGTGAGTGTACACACACACTGGTTTATTGAAGACGATCACAGAGTTTCAGTTTTTACAGATAAAACACTCATTTTCCCCTTAGATGGATAAAACATCTCCTGCACTGAAGACATAACCTTATGAACCTCTGATAACCAGGAAGTCACAAAGTTTTTAAGAAATGAGAAATATCTTTCTTGTAGATACATTTATTTTTGGTCTAAGAGCTTTAATCCTCTTTGTTGTTTTTACAGTAAATGTTTTCATCAGAGGCGTGTACTGACAGGTATACCAAAGCTGTACTGCAGTGTTTGTTTTGACCTCTGTGACTGTTCAGAGTTCCTCACATTGACAGTCTGGAGAAGAAACTGTCTTAATGTCAGGAAGTTGCGGTGTACAGACCTGTGTAACACTCACCTGAGAGAAGGAGACATCTTGGAGGGCAGGTTAGCTCTGATGACTTCCTTCTGCAGACCTGATAGTCTCTTGTAGTCTGTTTCTGTTCTGTTTGGCTGCTGACCTAATCTAAAGAGTGATGCAGAGAACAGACTGGATGATGGTAGTGAAGAGCATGATCAGGGTCACTGTCTGCAGCTTCTTACGCTGCGATTCTGCATTAACACAAAAACAGAGTTCTGCAATCACTCCAGAACAGTGCAATATTGGTATCTCAAGGTGTAGTTGCACGATTTACTATGGTGCTGTGGATAGGGCTGGGCGATAAACTGAAAATTACTGATACCGAAATACACGACAATAACCAACCTCATTTTGCCCATATTGGTATATTCGGTGTCAAATAAATTAATAAATAAAAGTTGGTTTTGGATGTGTGTAGGTAGGCTATGGTCTCATGTCTCTTTAAGACGCTGTCCTACATCGGAGACATGACTCCACCCCATCCAGTCTGTAACAAAGGGGAAAAGACAAGTGAGGAGATGGAGGACGGGTCAAAGTTAACGTGGGTGCGGGTGAGCAGCTTGCAGAGTAGTTATTGTCCTTTTATCGTTAGTGAGATGAACTGCTCAATATATCGTGATATTGATTTGAGGCCATATCACCCAGCCCTAGCTGTGGAAGCACTTGAGGTATGGATTGTAAACATACAGAAGGAGTGCCACACTCACACACTTTTATACACTAAGGGCTCAGACGCCACACATCACCACTATCTTCCCTAATCATCTTTCTGTTACTACCTCAGAAAGAAGATTATATTTGGCTTTTAGACTTTTCCAAACGATGAAGTTTCTGTATGTCACACATTGAAGATGAGGTGTAAGTGGGTGTAAATGCCCCACCTTGAAATAGAGGTATGAAAGAGCCATGTGTTTACAGAGCCTGACCATCATAGGTTGAGTGTATGAGTAGTCAGCCTGGAGGTGAAACACTGTCAGTGTTATCCTCATGCACAGACTAAAGCTCAGCTTGTTGTGACAGGTAACATGTGTTTTCTATAGAGTGTTATATACTATGCATAAACTTAAAAGAGCAGGATTTGTGAAAGAAAGCAGCTGGCTGTGAATTACTGAGCAATTCAAGCTCTCTCCAAAGTGCAGAGAGGATAAAAACACAGCAGCAGAGACAGTCATAGAAAACACTTTTTGAGACAGTGTTAGTGTTGGCTGCTCTGGGCTCTCTCCAGGACCATGACACAGAAGAAAGACAGAAGATGGGTTCTAGTGAACAAAAGTATTGTACTGGACAATGCCAACAGTTCAAACATCCCACCGTTAACAGAATCACGTTTACGATGACAACAAGGGAAAAGAGAGCTGTGTGGTTTTATTTTCATTGAAGAGGTGTAAGCTGGGTTGCCATGACACCAGATGTCAAGCACTGCTAGCCTAGCACTGCTTGCTCTAGCTCTTGTTATCAATCAGTGCGTTTAAAAAAATTAGTAATGCATTACTCAAACTGAAACTGGACTTTTACAATCCATAAAAACATGTTAGTCTGACTGAAATCTGACTTCTTGTAGTCAGACCAACATACCTGGATAATGCAGTGGGGGATTTGTATTTGTATTGTATGAAACTGACGTAAACATTTTGCACGGGATCAAGAGTTTGCACGTTGGGCTTTGAACCAAAAGTTGAACAGCATAAATGCTAGGAAACAAAACTTCAACAGAAAGGACTCAGAAAAGAAAGAGCTGTCAGTTTGAACGTACAGAAGGTAGGGCTGGGGGATAAATCGAAAATTTACTAATACTGAAATTTACGACAATAACCGAAAACATTTTGCCCATATCGGTATATTCGGTGTCAAATAAATTAATAGATAAAAGTTGGTTTTGGATGTGTGTCAGTAGGCTATGGGCTCATGTCCCTTTAAGACGCTGTCCTACATTGAAGACGTGACTCCACCCCATCCAGTCCATGACAAAGAGGGAAAGACAGGTGAGGAGATGGAGGACGGGTCAAAAGTTGTAGAGGCTGGAGCAACGGCTGAATTAGACGAAGTTAAAGTGGGGGGGGCATCTTGTGGAGTAGTTATCGTCCATTTATTGTTAACAAGGTGAACTGCTCAATATATCATGATATTGATTTGAGGCCATATCGTCCAGCCCTACCTGAAGGTGCAGAGCTGTAAAAGTGATGGGTTCTCAATGTTAGAGCGATGTTAGCTTTCATAACTTGTTGATGCCTTTGCCCTGTGATGTAGGTCAACAAGGAGATAGATAGCTCAGTAACAATCCAAAAGCTGCATCCATCATAGCAGAGGTAGACATACTTTCGGCAATAATTTGATTCTTACCTGGTGCTCGTTAACTGGGACAAGGTCGTTCATCCAGTTAGATCGCCTTCCTGAGGCATACAATGTCCTGCTCACGAATGAAGGCATCACTGTTGGAGGTATGAAGGCTTCACCTTTACGTATACAGCATTTCCTGACTAGTTGACTGTTACATGGTAATCGATGGTAAACCCGTTAATGTAAATATTCAGCCCGTTCTAATCTTCCTAGATTCGACCAGAAATAGTAGATCAAACATCTAAAAGCAAGCATTTGAAAGGATTTTGCCCATCCCATCTTTTAAAAATCTGCAGCCTGTTGCAGTTATGTCAACATCCTTCCAGCCTTTTCGTTGTCATTGTTTAACCCCCATAAAACTTGTTTATTTTGGCTCCAAAGCAGTGAAGTGAAACAGATTTCAGCACTCTTTAGTGTGAGACTCAGTGGAAATGGACAGGAGCGCCACAGCTGAAAGAGGATGGCTCTATTTGGGTATTCATCAGGAAAACCCAGGTACTGATCCTGGAGTTTGGTTTTTATCAGCAGGTTGTGTGTCACCAATGGAAAAAAAGATCCAGTCGAAAATTTGAACCTAGCTTTAGTTTACTGATTTCTAATGATTCCAGATGTTGTTTTCAAACCAGCTGATTGATGGTTCAGGATGAACAGAGTCATGGATTTACAAATGGATAATGTTGCCCACAACAAACCAGTAGAAGGAAAAACAGCACAAACTGGCCCTTTAAAGTAGACAAACACCTGCTGAATGTGCAAAGCAAAGATTTGTCGCTGACTGAAAACAACAGCACACTGAGAGCCTGCTGTCCTGAGTCCTGCCTTTTCACACCATTCATCATGGCTGAATCTGAGTTTTGTGACAGAAGCAGCTGCTACAATGGCCCTGCAGTCAGAAATACAACAATTGTTTGATAGGAATCACCATGAACAATATGAAAAATTCCCCACAGCTTTGTTTTGTCTCTGCTGTCGAACAATCAGCCTTTTAAATAATTTTATATCTTTTATATCTGCTCTCTTTCAGCTGCACTTCAACAACGAGTGTAAGTTCAGAGAGAAGCTCCTCGCCAACAACTACAACGCCTATGAGTCGGCCACATACCCGAGGATGTTCATCGGCCTGAGTAAGAACGGCAAAACAAAAAGAGGAAACCGAGTGTCCCCGGCAATGACGGTGACACATTTCTTACCCAGAATCTGAGGCATCATAAACAGACTTCACCTCAAAGTGGAGAAAGAGGGGGGCTCCAAACCATGATGCACTTTCACCCCAAGCTTTATGCAAGTGTATCATACATGATCTTATACTTTGAATTTATATTTCGTATTTATGTTTAACAACATTTTTGTATTTTTCTAGGAAGGCCTGTTTTTTTTCTGAGCATAAGGGGGGGTTAAAGATGATTATTTATGTTTTTATTTTCTAATTTAAAAGAAACTTGCTGCTATGTCATATGTCTATTCAGATCTTTTGCACTGAAAGGAAAAATTTGCAGTGCACAAGACATGTTTTGACTTCTTTACACAAACTCCAACTCCAAAAAAGTTGTGTGGATTGTTGAAATGTTCACAAAACTTTATCTTGATGGTTTGCATTTAGAGCCTACATTGGGAAAAGTGAAAAGACAATAAAACACGTTGAAAATAATAATAATAATACAGTTTTAAGATAAATATGCGCTTGATTTTAAACTTCATGCAGGCAGACAGTCTCAAAAAGTTGAGATGGGGACAACCAATCTTGGAAGAAGTTATGTAATGCCAGAAAAATACAACTTGCAAATCCACTATCTCATAAGGTTCATTTTTAACCAGTTTGTAACATGACTTGGCACATAAAAGGGCATTACCAAGACACTGGGTCCTTCAGAAGTAAGGATCTGAGAAAGTTTAACACTGTGTGAGAGACTGAATGAGCAAAACGTTTAAATTAAAAAAATAAAAAATGGTGGATTTCATAATAATATCATCAAATCAGGAAACCCAGAAAAATCTTAGTAAAAAAGAAACCAAGCTGAATTTTGATACTATATGGTCATGATCTACAGGCCTACAGGAAGAGCTGCTTCTAAAACTGACAAGCCTCTGCAGTGGAAGTTACCACAAAGGATCGAAATCACTATTGTATTTGCAGAATTATCTGATTAAAATAAGAGTTTAAATGATTTGCAAACCATCAAGTTAAGTTTTTATCGACATTTCACCCAACATCTAAACTTTTCTGGGGGGATTGGGCTTGTATTTAAAACCATTTTGAGTCCAGGTCTGTAAACAGAACTGAGTGTGTTTGGTGTCAGACGTTGCTCTGATTGCCCAACACGCCGGCCCCTTTGTGTGGCACTGGAGCCTAATTGAAACAGTATCATCTTACTGTCGGGGAGAGAGAGAGAGAGAGAGAGGGAGAAAGAGAGAGAGAGAGAGAGAGAGAGAGAGAGAGAGTTGAAGATCCCCCACCACCTCCTCTGGTCTGTTTATAGCTCTGCCAGGGGGGGTGAACTCTGAACTTTTCTGCCATCCATCTCAGTCAGACCCATAAGACTGCAGATAGAGAGGCATCCTCTCTGACATTATATAAGGAGGGAATTTGGGAGTTTAAAGGCAAGGTCAAAGAGCCGAAATGTAACAGAGAAACGTAGCCTTGACTGTGGATTCTTTATGTCAAGTTATTTCTGATTGTCCACTCACTGCTGGGCTGGAAGACATCAGTCAGTCTGCTGAGTCTGAGCGGGGCAGATACGTGCCGAGGTTTGTTTCGGGTCGACAAATGTTTAGCATCTCTTTGTCCGGGTCTTATTTGCAGAGACTCTGTGTCCCATTTGTAGGAGAAAAATGCAAGGCAGACAAACCTTGTTTTTATTTAAAAAAATATCACCTTGTGCAGTGATTTTCACCCTTAACCTTCCTCCTGTGTTAGCTTTTACCGCGCACCCACTATGTTAAGGGTCGGTTTTGACCCGTGTCTTAAATCAGCTGTAAATTACACATAAAAAAAAAATTCTCTATCATCCAATTTGGTTCTCATCTCTAGGTTACCTTGTTAGGCTCCATTATCCATGAAAATATTGCTTAGAATATTTTTTGTTGTGGGCCTCTGGGTCTTTCTTTGTCAGTATAACCTTCATAAAGACATCCATACTGAATTGATCTCACATGTCTAGACATGCCCGACATTGTTTTTTGTGAAGAGAAAACATGGCAAAATGAGAATTTCTTAAATCTCACATGATTGAAAGAGGATCTGACTGTCAGTGTGGTGCCTGACAGTGCACTTATGATTCCAGTTTTTGCTCTAATTATTACATATTAATCTAACCGGGTCAACAGTGACCCTAACACGACAAGTGCCATAATTTTGATAAGAGCATTTTATAATTTAGTCAATTTCTTCTTTTTTTTTTTTGTTTTTATTTTGTTGAAATAGAGGTTCCTGACAAAGTCAAAGAGTCTTGATGCAAACAAGCTAATTTAAGTGGTTCTTTTAAGCATTTTAAATCAAAAACGGGTCGGTGCAGACCCTAACACCGGAGGAGGGTTAAACACAATAGACCACCTATAAGGAATATCCAGCAGGGGGTGATTTCAGTGGTTTCAGAATGGAGTCTGAAACAGCCGCAGTAAAATGAGTTGGAGGGAGCTGTGCCACAATATTCATAAGGGTTTTTTCAGAGATCATGACAGCAGTTCACCTGTGGATGACCTGAAGATTATACATTCTCTTAAATTCTGTAAAAAATGACTTGATAGCAAGGGTTAAATCATCCTGAAGCTGTCCGACTCAACCATTAATTACAGATTCACCAGGTTAACCAAGCCAGCATTCGCTCCAGTCCGTCACTCAATTATAGTCACTTCTGGTATTGAAAAAGACGGGGTCTGCTGGTCTGCTGGTTGATCATCTCCTCACACACACACACAGGTTGTCGAAGCTGATGTTGTTGGCATAGAACATTATTCTGGGACAAATTTCAGGGGTGGATTCGGCAACAACCGTCTACCTGTAAAAACCTCCACAGCACTGCCTATCAGCTGGCTGCAGTGTGTGTGTAAAGCTCATGCTCACATTTACTAGTAGTAATGAAAGGCAGCCAGGCTTCATCCAGCATGTGTACAAATAGAGCACAGGCACTTCAAAAGGACGACTAAAAAGCAGTCATTAAGGACTCAACCCTGACTGGTTCAGGGCCCATAGCTGCACGGTATCCCTCCAGATGATCACCATTTATCATCTTTTCACTCATTGATCAAGTTAATGATCAGTCAAATTCTTTGTTTTTACATTTCCAGTGGCACAATATCCTTTTTTTCAATTCCCAGATTGGGTTTGTGAAGATAGTAAGCTGTGGACTGGGTTGGTGTTTCAGTTTCTTCCACTCACTGGTCTTAGAGCTGACCCAACAGGCCACATAGAGTATCTAAACGTCTGAGAGGATGACATAGTTTCAGATGTTGAACTATTTCTAGCTATGTTTCTATCTTGATCTCAGTCTTCCTTCAGTTTTTCAGGGATTTCTCAGGCGATCCATCAGTGTCAGTCTTTAAGTGTATTTCCCCTCCGCTCACTTCCTCCAGCAGTGATGAACAACAACACACTCAGGATAAAATAAACCTACAAATAAACATTGTTGAGGACACAAACTTTGGCGCACTTCCGGTACGACCAATTTCCAATTCCCTCCTTTTTCATTGAACCACAGTCTCTGATTTGACTTCCTGTGTCGTTAGCATTTATTAGCTCAGCTCCCAGACCCTGTCTTCTGTCCCTGTGTTTGTCTCCTCTCCGTCTCCCTGAGAGTCTCTGCAGCCCAGCTCTGGTGGCCATGTTGTCCTAGTTGCGCCTTGTCACGTTCCGGCTATCTTTACCCCATGATTTACTTTTAGAAAGGATAATCATGGGAGAAATATTTACGGACAGCTGTCGGACTGTACTATATGCTCGGGCCAGTAACCCTATATTTTTCTTTATATATTTGTAAATAGAACTTCTGAGTAACTGAAGGTGCTGGTATTCCTTTCGGGGGGAGGACAGTTTTAAACCAACAGAGCTGGCTGGAAGTTTCTGTCTGAAGGCCTGAGTCCTGTTTGGTTTCCTGATTATTACCGATAAATCAAATGTGTATTGACAACTTAAAGCTCTGGTGAGAGAAAGCTGACCACACACAGCCTGTATAAGTTTATTTTTAATGTTTTCTTTCTTTGTATGATTTTTACTGAAGAGATTTTAAATCTCTGTTTGAACATTCCTCTTGCTCTTTCTTACATGGTGCCTCCTTGTCAGGATTTGTACTGTTTTCTCGGTTGAACATGAGTGCCTTCAGTAGAAATAATGATGCATTAGCACAGAGGCCGGCCACGCTGAATGCACACGCTAGGTATTAAGTTGCAAATAGCTCAAGCAAATATCATGCAAACTGTTGTGGCTTAAGGCTGTGATTCGTGCAAACCGGCGTGGATGTTTAGACTCCTGCGAGTTATGCAGACTCGGTGCTGCGACATACATGTCATTGTACACATTGTCAGAATAAGTCCTGTAACATCTCCTGTTTCAGTGCCTTCTTTTTAATCTCCTCTCCATCTTCTCAGCGCCTCTGCAGCCACACATGCAGGTAACCTGGGGCGTCTGCTGCTCACAGCTGTGCTCTCTGCTCTCCAGTATCACTGCTTTGCATGGCGGGCATCATGTTTACAGTAGAAAACCTCTCTGCTCTCTGTCACCGACCCAGGACCAGCCCTCTACTCTGACTGCTCATTTGGTTATGCAGCTACAGTCAGAGCGAGGGGGGGTTGAAGTCAGCAGTCTGTCTGCTCTGAGGCCTTTAAAGGTTCATATACACCTGCAGCTTTAAAGTCACAGTTAAACATGTGACTCTGCTGCAGCATGATCACAGATACACTCTTGCAGAATTTCCCTTCACTATGTCACTGCTCAGGGAGGTATTTTTAGATCTGGGCACTATTTGGACATATTCTGGGGTCTTGGGCTTGGTAGTTACAAAAGTTTGGGAGTTGTTGCCGAAGATTGCCTCAGCCTCTGACTGTCACTGCTACAGTAAATCCTCAGGGTAAGCACATCCAACCAAAGTGTGTCCACACAGAGGTGTTGTTTGGTCACTGACAGGCTTGGATTATTATTTTAAGTGTCTAGTACCATTACAGAAATGATCCCTATAGAGACAGACCTTTTTGATAAAGCAATATTTCTTCAACCCAAATCAGCTGTTAAAAAACACATCAGATTACTACAATTTTGACCTGCAAACAAATCTAAGAGTAGTGTGGTCATCTGGGGAAATAACCAGAGAGTGTGTCTTCACAGGCAGGGAAGAATCCTGTCAGCCTCCTGTCGTCAAATGTTTTTATTTGTAAATCTGTTCATGTATTTCTCCCTAACTGAGCG